AGGCCAGGGGGCTCTCCCGAAGAGAAAGCCCCCTAGGGATCAGGGGAGGAAGGAACCAAAAGGCCACACATCCTCCCCCTAGACTTCAGGGTAGGCCCGAGGACCCACACCCTCCATCCGTGAAACACACACATAAGCAAAGAAAAAAGTGACAAACGTGGGAGTGCATAATAAATTAAATAATAGAAAATAAAAAAGTGGTACCGTGCCAAATTGTGCACAGACCAGGCCCTGAGGCCCGTAGCAAAAATTGCCCTGAACTTAGCCAAAAGACCTGGTCCTTAGGGCGCTGTGCAAAAAGAGGTGAAAAACAGTGGCCATGTGTCATCTTCACACCGTGGGGTCCCACACCCAAGTGTTACTAGTGACACCCCTGAGAGCGTCTTCCTCAGGGGGCACTGAGTTTGCGGACTTTTTGCGTCCCAGCCCCTGGCCAGACCAAGGTAGATCCGTCCGAATCAGGAGGTACTGGGTCTTTCCAGTCTTCCCAGAGGAATTACTCCCAGGGCCCCAGAACGAATCATGGCGCTCCCTGGTTTCTGTCCCTCCGGTACTAGCCTTCCGGACCCCCATCAACCAGTGAGGGTACTATACAACAGCCATCCCCGCATAGCTAGAATGGCCGGGAGCACCCCCACTGGACACTGATAAGAACAGATACTACACTTGATCTTAGCCAAAAGGCCGAGAAGCACCGGCTATAGGAATGACCCAACTGCAAACAGGTTGCACCTGATGAGGCTGCAATCCTTGGATAGGTGACCAATCCCCTGGCACAGGGAACACTTTAGCACACTACATGTGGACGCAAAGTGTCCCCTATTTCTGCACCTATAGCAGACTTTGGGCTGGCCAGCAATAGAAAATCACCAGCCTGTCTTTGCCAATGAAGGCTGACGATGGTATATGCTTTATCTGTGGGCTCATCACCTCCCCAAACCGGCTCAGCCACACTATAATATCCGCAGCAGGGATGGATTCGTTTCTGACCAATATGGTCACGTTCTCTACTAAGGGCTGCCTGGACACCACTTTGGGGATAAGCCCCTCCCACCTGGGGGTATTCTTCCATTCATTTTCGTATCTTTGCCAGAACAGATCCAAGCTTTCCGGTCTGACAAATGAGATATCAAACTCCCCTGTCCCCAAGGGAGCAATGAAGGCAAAAATCTCAAAGGCTTTGAATCCCATATCTAGGATCCTATCCACCACTTCATGTCTATTAGGGGGGGAGCTTCTGCCCCTCCCATCTCAGCTGAACCACATTACGCCTCTTTATTGGAGATCCCAACACTCCTGTCTGCACCTCTGGTGCTCTCATTCCTCCCTGACCCCCCCTCACAGCTGCAGAGTAACTCACTGCAGGTCTCACACGGGGAGCAGGGACAGGGGCGGGGCTAAGGGCAGGGGCGGGACCCTCCACAGGAGCCACAACAGAAGCTGAGGCATGGCTTGCTGGCACTGTGACCCGTCCTGACGTCAGAGCTGACACCGAGCCAGGAGCAGGGACTGCAGTCGCACTAACAGCTGAGTCTGACATCAAGCTGGGGGGAGGGGCGGAGCCCTGAACACACATGGATCCAGGAGCAGGGACAGGAGATCGGGCTTCTTGCTGCTGTGCAGGTGGGTCAGACACCAGCACCTCACTCACTGCCTCTCCAGAAATGGATCCCTCCATTGGGCAGACTATTGCAGCCGACGCCCTGGCTGTGGTGTCAGACGATTCCTCTGAAGACAGGACATCTCTGGCTTGGCCTCTTGCTGCAGCAAAAGTCTTCTCCCTTGCTTGTTTAAAGCGGTCTTCATTGCTGTACTTTTCTTTCAGCAGCCCACTTGCAGCCTTCAGGGTGGACACTCGCTCCTCCTGCAGACGGACTGCCTGCTCCAACCTCTCCAGCTCAGGCCTCATGGTCTGTCTCTTTGAGCTCCAGACCCTATTGTATGTTGATCTGTAACGCTTCAAATCCATTTTTAGCTGAGAAAGTTTTTCCTCCTCTCTAGCGATCCTTTTCACATGCGTGGTCACTCGTCCGCGGTATACTGTATATGACTCACCGGCCTTGGGGCCCTCTCCCAGGTCCTCAGTAGGTGTATGTATGAGACCGGTACTAGGGCCCTTGGGGGGACCCCCGCCTCCAGGGTCCTGCCTGGGAACACTCATCTCTCCTGGGCTGGGAGAGGAATCCAGTCCCTGGCTCCAAAACAAAGCCTCTGGAAGTCAGAGAGCAAGCCCACACACAACTCTCCACACCAAGCTCCTCCCAGGAAGTGGGGCGTAAAGGAAGTTGGATGTTCCCAAAGTGCTGTATCAAAGCACATTAATAGAAAGTTATGTGGAAGGGACAAGTGTGGAAGAAAAGGGTGCACAAGCAGCAGGGATGACCGCAGCCTGGAGAGGATTGTCAGGAAAAAAGCCATTCAAAAGTTTTGGGGACTTTCACAAGGAGTGGACTGAGGCTGGAGTCAGTGCATCAAGAGCCACCACACACAGATGGATCCTGGGCTAAAGAAAAAACAGACCTGGTCTGTTGCTCAGTGGTCCAAAGTCCTCTTTTCTGATGAGAGCAACTTTTGCATCTCATTTGAAACCAAGGACCCCGAGTATGGAGGAAGAATGGAGAGGCCCAAGGACCCCGAGTATGGAGGAAGAATGGAGAGGCACACACTGCAAGATGATTGAAGTCCACTGTGAAGATTCCACAGTCTGTGTTGATTTGGGGAGCCATGTCATCTGCTGGTGTTGGTCCACTGTGCTTCATTAAGTCCAGGGTCAAAACTGCCTTCTTACCAGGAGATTTTGGACCACGTCATGCTTCCTTCCGCAGACGCGCTTTATGGGGATGCTGACTTCATTTTCCAGCAGGACTTGGCACCGCCCACACTGCCAAAAGCACCAAAACCTGGTTCAATGACTGTGGGATTACTGTGCTTGATTGGCCAGCAAACTCACCTGACCTGAACCCCATAGAGAATCTATGGGACATTTCCAAGAGAAAGATGAGAGACATGAGACCGAACAATGCAGAAGAGCTGAAGGCCGCTATTGAAGCATCCTGGTCTTCCATAACACCTCAGCAGTGCCACAGGCTGATAGCTTCCATGCCACGCCGCATTGAGGCAGTAATTGCTGCAAAAGGGGCCCAAACCAAGTACTGAGTACATATGCAGCTTCTACTTTTCAGAGGCCCGATATTGTTCTATGTACAATCCTTGTTTTATTGATTGCATGGAATATTCTCATTTTCTGAGATTGTGGATTTGGGGTTTTCATGAGCTGTAAGCCATAATCATCACAATGATGACAAATCACGGCTTGAACTATCTTGCTTTGCATGTAATGAGTCTCATATATTAGTTTCACCTTTTAAGTTTGCTGCACTGAAATAAATGAACTTTTGCACCATATTCTCATTTTTTGAGTTTCACCTGTGAAGAGACATTTCTACCACTTCTATATATAACAGCTTCCCGCTGTCACTGGTGCTGAGGAAGACATGGATGGGTACAGCGGCCACACCCCCAGGAATCAGTGATGTCATTGGGAATCCCTGACATGTAAGGAAGGGGGTGGGGATAGCAGTGACATCACTGACCAAATATGGTCACATTTGGGTAATAAGGTCCCACCATCCCTGTCCCTTCACTTATGTAGATGATGACAGTTTAGGGAGCTGTCATTGGGCTGGTGCTATTGTTGGGTACTATATACCCCATACTCATTCACATGGGGGAACGGTATATGGGGGCCCCTTGTTATTAAAGGGGGTTTCCAGAATCCAATATGACCCCCACCCACAGATCCCCATAGCCACCAGCCAAGGTGACAAGGTGCTATACCTGGGGGAATCCCCCCTGGTAAGGTGACCCCCATGTTGTGGACATGTGGCCTGGTATGGATCAGGGGGGGCACACTACAGCCCCCCTCTGCACTCTGTATGGTGGGCTGTATATGATATACTGCTGACCCCCGCACTCTGCGCCGTTATTGAAGGTGTGAGGTGTCACCGAGGAGCAATGTTCTATATTGAAGTTTGCCGTCATTGCACCGACACACACAATAGTTTTGTTCAATAAAAGTTTTATTATAATTTTACATTTAACAAGATTGAAGCATAAAAATCAGGAAATAGTAAAGGAAGAAATCCGATTGGTCAGGAAGATCCCTTGTCTGGAATGTGGGGGCGGAGTCATTATTATTGGTGTACAATACAATACACAACGTGTTCCATTATTATAACAAAGTATTGTAGAAAAGATCCCAACATAGAAAATGGGGGAACGGAGGAAATAAAGGCGGATATGAAGGGGAATCTGTGTACGGGGAACACCTTAACAATCACCACCATTGTATTCTCCAGGGCCTCTGATGTCACAGATAGATGTTTGGGGGTTTATCTCATCTTCAGGACCAAAATCTGCATTTTCCCATGTGTGCAAAATCATGCAGAAACAGCTCTGGCAGTGAGAGGGTTAATGTGGGCTAGATGGGATCACTCTGCTGGGGTGACATTAGAGCTCCCCCTAGCTGCAGCCTGGTAATAACATTGCTGGGAGGTCTCTTCATTTCTCTGCTCCATACTTCCCGTCTTTATAGAAACGTCTCCTGACATTTGGGGGTCTATTCATAGAATGTTTGTATAGCAATTCCCTCAGTGAGAGTTCATGTCCATTCCTCCTGTGTGAATGGGGAACCAATGTTATTAGGATCACATCTGAGCTGCTGGAATGTCTTCCATTGATGGAAAATACATTGAAAACTTCTTCTCCTGCCATCAATGGCCAACCCGGTCCCACACTTCATCCATGTCTTTGGGGACCTCTGATCTCCTTATCAACTGTTTCTTCCATGATGAAGGTCAGCCTTGGAGTACATCTGAGGTGTATATCAGGGTGTGCTTCTTCCCCACATTAGTGCCACACTCAAGGCACTAATACACCTCCAGGGTTGTGTGGGACCCCTGTTGTTCAGGAAGACAGGACTTCAATGAGGAACATTTCCCTCACTCAGGACAGGAAAGTGGCTTATCCCTCTTGTGAGATCTCCGATGTCTGTAAAGATTGGAGTTCTGAGAAAAACATTTCCCGCACTCAGGACAGGAATACGGCTTCTCCCCCTTGTGAGATCTTTGATGTTCATGAAGATTGGAGTTCTGTGAAAAACATTTTCCGCAATCAAGACAGGAATATGGTTTCTCCCCCTCTGTGAGATCTCTGATGTCTGCAAAGATGGGACTTGTCTGAAAAACATTTCCCGCACTCAGGACAACAATACGGCTTCTCCCCCGTGTGAGATCTCTGATGACTATGAAGTTTGGACTTCTCTGAAAAACTTTTCCCACACTCAGAACAGAAAAAATAGCTTCTCCCCAGTGTGAGATCTCTGATGTCTGTAAAGACTGGACTTCTCTGAAAAAACATTTCCCGCACTCAGGGCAGGAATGTGGCTTCTCCCCCATGTGAGATATTTGATGTGTGTAAAGATAGGACTTCACTGAAAAACATTTCCCACACTCAGGACAGGAATACGGCTTCTCCCCCGTGTGAGATCTTTCATGCACATTAAGCTCTGATTTATACCGGAAACCTTTCCCACACTCAGGACAGGAATATGGCTTCTCACCTGTGTGAGATCTCTGATGTGTGTAAAGATGTGACTTTTGTGAAAAACATTTTCTACACTCAGGACAGGAATACGACTTCTCCCCCGTGTGAGATCTCTGATGTCTGTAAAGACTGGACTTCACTGAAAAACATTTCCCACACTCAGCACAGGAATAAGCTTCTCACCCGTATGAGATCTCTGATGTGTTTTAAGATGAGACACTTTTGAAAAACATTTCCCACACTCAGGACAGGAATATGGCTTTTCACCCGTGTGAGATCTTTTATGCACATTAAGACCAGATTTAGAATGGAATCTTTTCCCACACTCAGTGCAGGAGTAGCTCTTCTCTGTTGGAGGGTCGGCCTGGTCCCACACAGTCTGAGGTTCCTCAGGATACGAGGAATCTGATGGTCCATCTACACTGGGTGGTGCTGGATGGATATTGGAGGGAGCCGGGTTTCCTCCTGGACTATACTGTGTGATGTCCTCATCTTCTACTTTCCAGTCTGGAGACAAAGTGAGACAATCCTCGGTGGTTTTCCTCCTCATCTCCCGGCCATGGACTAAAATACAAAGACAAAGAGGATTACTAGACAGAAGCTGATTGGTTCCCCCAAACCAGGACTCCACCCACATCAGGCAGCTTGTTCTCTGAGGAGCTTACAATTCCACCCTCAAGGGAACTAGGAAATGGCTCCTCTGATCTCCTACCAGGTCATTTCTTTATTCATGGACCTTAGTCAGAGAGTGAGGAAATAACCAGAACTGTCTTTTATAGGAGGGACAGTGATGAGGGGATTATAGGACGAGGGTCCCCACCCCCTCTATCACTCATCGCCATCTTCCCAACACAAGAAGTACTGCACTTCCTTATTTAGTCCATGATTTAGCATGAAGAACAGCGGGGCTGAACCCCACCAGAGGTCAGAGAGTGAGGATGGGGGGAGAACAACCAAGATGAAGACTGGACTGATCCTGAAGACCACCATCATTGGGGTATTGACTCCTCCCTCATTATCACTTTCTGTTTAAGGGTCCAAAGTTGGAGGATGTTATCACATTATTATCACCATGTAAAAGTCTGTGCTCCAATCACATCATCCGATATGAAATATCCAGCTGGTAGGAAATGGGGGGGACAAAACAGAATCCATATTATGTATATATACTGTATAGCAGTGGGGGGAGGTCAGGAGTATGTAATGTACAATATAAATGTTATAGTATAAGGGTCAGGACTCATAATATAGGTATTCAGTAATCAGTGGAAGATGAAATGTTTCCTGTAGACAAGTTGCAGACGTCCCACACCGCTGCCTCCCATCTCCTGAGACTGCACTCAGTGACTTGGGTCTGAGACTATACAGACATATCCCTCCACCCGCACAGCCAGCAGACAACAGAGCAAGGAACCCTGGGAGAATTGTCCTGTCAGAGATTTTAGTCAAGCATGAGGAAGAAGACACACAGAACAGGTCCCAGATAACTCAACACTTATGGTGAAAATGAACATTCTGCTGCCAGCTGAACCCCAGAACCTCCATAAATCCAGTCTAGATACATAAATTGTGTCTGCAGCACAGAGAAGGAAGATTATCCGAGAGAAATCCAGGAATACAGGACGGGGAACACAGCTCAGGAAAGTGACCAGGGGATTACAGGCTGATATCACCCAGTCCCCCCGCCCTACTCTGGACCAATCAGTGAGCGGTATGGGTGGAGGAATGGATTTAGGGTTCATGACCCACCTGTGCTGATCTCTGTAGGAGTGTCCTCCTCTATAAATGTCCCCGTTATTCCATCCTCCTCCATAGACTGCTGATCATCCCTCACATACGCCTCTTCTTCTGATTTCACCTCAAATTCTATATCGATTGGATCTCCACTCTAAATCAAGGAAATGAGAGAGAATATCATCTGTAAAATATAAGCTTACATACAAAAATCCACACATCATCTTTACAAGTCCATGTTCTAGATTCTCCGTCCCACCAACCTTGTAATGGTGAGGGATGGTGTGACCTTCCTGTGTGGAATCCCAGGAATACAGAGGATGGGGACATCTCTCTGGTGGGTTCCTGGTATTAGGTGGCTCCATCATATCCTTGTGTCCTTCTGAAAACTCCTCCATCACTCCATACTCCTCATCCTCCTCTTTATACTCTTCTTTAACATCAATATTCTCATCCCCGAGGATTCCACTCTGAAAGATATAATAAAACATTCATTGTAACAAACATGCTGTGTATAAATCACAACTACCAATAATTTTCATCATCTACCTGATGATGGTGAGGGATGGTGTGACCTTCCTGTGTGGAATCCCGGGAATACAGAGGACGGGGACATCTCTCTGGTGGGTTCCCATGACTGGATCCATCTGTAGGAAACACACACACTGACTGAATCCATTGTTTCTATGTGTTTATCAGATGATGGGGGATCTAGGTGGATCCTCCGTACTGCTCTCCTCCTTTACAATAAAGTCTCCTCTTACCCGGTGATGTGAGGGGCGGCTGATTGTCCATCATGACGTCCTTGTAGAGATCCTTGTGTCCTTCTAAATACTCCCACTCCTCCATGGAGAAATAGACAGTGACACCCTGACACCTTATAGGAACCTGACACACACAATGATACAGTCACCATCCAGACACATCCCTTGTCTGTTACTGGAGAATGTCCCAGAATTCCCGGCACCGCTCACCTCTCCTGTCAGCAGCTCCATCATCTTCTTGGTGACTTCTAGAATCTTCTGCATGTTGTGTCTCTCAGGGTTTAGGGAGTCACATGGAGGCACTGTGATGGCCATATGATCACCTGACTTCAGAAGAGGAAATCTCTGTATTGAGGAACCAATAGGAATATCACGTTAGACTCCCAGAATCCTCCTCACCTCTCCGGTCAGGTCTGTGTTTTATTAATAGAGATAAGAGTGATGTCATGTGACCTCCCAGAATCCTCCTCACCTCTCCGGTCAGGTCTGTGTTTTATTAATAGATAGAAGAGTGATGTCATGTGACCTCCCAGAATCCCCCTCACCTCTCCGGTCAGCAGGTAGATGATCTCCAGGGTGAGGTTTAGTATCTTCTCAGTCATGTGACTCCGGTCCTCCTCCATCCTCATTGGTGCCATCATGTGATCTATACAGGTCTCCTTGTAGACGGATAACTTTGGGAAATGAAAGTAAGAATGATTGATGGTATTGGTCACACAATAATAGGATGTGGATGTGAGGGGGGAATAGGAGGGTTGCTGGACATTGAAGAACTACTCCCCCCATGGGAACACATTTAGTTTGGACTGTTTAATGTTTGTTACATCTTGGAGGACCTGGAACCCTCTTGGGCTGTTGGATCAGAAATTCCCTTTTCTCTGTTGGTTTGTTTTGTTTCTGGTTTGCAGCTGAATCAGGACTCCTCTAAGAACAAGTGCTCACTGAGTGAAGGAATGTCCTTCTCTATTTTACTTGATATTCCAGAACATGTCACATGACCAGTGAGACAATAAGAAGGTTAAGATTGTCAGTTCTGTAAGGTCAGAAAAATATGTACAGGTGGGGGGGCACCACAGACCCAGAGACCTCCCCTCCCTCTGAGTCCCCTGAGCCCTTCAGCCCCCTATTCCCCCAAAGCCCTGCAGCCTGACTAACCCCTAAAAGGTCCCAGATTCCCCCTTCAGGGGCCCTAAAGTCTTTCAGCTTTACTAAACCCTCACAGCTTCTCAGCTCCTCTACTTCCCTCAGACCCCTCAGTATTTTCCTCTCTCTGACACCAATGATGGAACATATTCTTCATGGCCGGCTGGGGAATGTTTTCTTCCTCCTGACCAGCAATGTAAGGGGCTCTATGCTCCATACTCCTGACCCCGGCACTCCATCATTGTGTTGGCTGCATAGTGTAATGATTGCCCATTGAGAAAAAAGGAGAGAAGCGCCTCTAAGTGCAATAAGTCTTTTTATTCAAGTCTAAATGTAGAAACACTCACATGTGTGAAGTAATCATAAGCTTACAAACCGTGGTTAACAATAGTTAACGGTGGGGTGGTAACCCGGGTGAAGAGCCGTCATCTCTCTGCGATGTGGGGAGGTCAGCTCTCGGCTGGAACAGCGGGGTGGCTGGAGGGAAAACAGAGGTGAGGCCGGCCAGCATGCACGTCCTCCCTCAGAGCCGGATGGAACGTAGCGGCGGTGTGGCCGTGATGACGTCAGATCCCAGGGTGCACTGCAACGCGTTTTCGGAGCATGCACTGGCCGTGGAAGGCGGAAGTGCACTCCTTTTTCAAGCTGCTTGAAAAAGGAGTGCACTTCTGCCTTCCACGGCTAGTGCATGCTCCGAAACGCGTTGCAGTGCACCCTGGGATCTGACGTCATCACGGTCACACCGCCGCTACGTTCCATCCGGCTCTGAGGGAGGACGTGCATGCTGGCCGGCCTCACCGCTGTTTCCCTCCAGCCACCACGCTGTTCCAGCCGAGAGCTGACCTCCCCACATCGCAGAGAGATGACGGCTCTTCACCCGGGTTACCACCCCACCGTTAACTATTGTTAACCACGGTTTGTAAGCTTATGATTACTTCACACGTGTGAGTGTTTCTACATTTAGACTTGAATAAAAAGACTTATTGCACTTAGAGGCGCTTCTCTCCTTTTTCTCATCTACAGAAGTTGCTACAGCTTATTTGGAAGCCTTGCCCTCAGTGCCACACGGAATCCTACGCTCTTCATACAGTAGCCACTAATACCACCATCACCCCATACTACCATTTCCCAGGACTTTGCAGTGTTTGCGCTGTTACAACCCTTCCTCATTTTTTCTAATGATTGCCCATTGGCTGCCTGTGTAGTGTCATCATTGCCCTTTGTAGGCCATGTATGGTCAGGATGGTCCTTGTCTTGTCTATTTATTGTCAGTGCTGTTTGTTTAGAGGACCATATTACTAGAATTTATCTCCCACAATGAGGAGAATGTTCCGGCCCCGGAAGTGGGGGAATGTACTGCCCCTGAAGGGGTTCATCTGGGTTCCCACACTATATATGTGTGTATCATCATCTGCTGGAGATAAAAGACGTCACAGTGACTATGGAGGAAGAGGACGGACATGACTATGGAGGAAGAGGACGGACGTGACTATGGAGGAAGAGGACGGACATGACTATGGAGGAAGAGGAGGACATGATGATGGAGGAAGAGGATGGACTATGGAGGAAGAGGATGGACATGACGGGGGGGGTTACTGGGTGTAAATAGGAAATAACATCTTATTACCTCCTCTGCTGCCACTTCCCCCAATGTCTCCTCTTCTTTGTGCCACATGGAACGTTCTATCTGTACCTGACATAATTTCCTGTCTGTACTGACATCACTTCCTGTCTTCCATGGAGACTTCCTGTTTGGGTATAAGCGAGATCACCACCTTGTGGAGCTCAGAGGAACTGCAGCCCTGAGAAATGTCTCATGGTGTAATCCTGGCCTTGTGTTGTGTTCAGCATTTTGAATGTTTTCTTGTCATATTTGCCCTTTAACCCCTTCAATTCCGGGCACTTTTACCCCCTTCCTGCCCAGGAAAATTTTCAGGTTTCCCTATCCTTCATTCAGGAGGTCCAGTCCCCACCATCTGCGGATACAGTATGTATGGTAGGTATATGTGAGCGCACAAAAATGGATATCAGCTGCTATGCACAAGGTAACCAAGTAACACCTTACAATAAGCAATATAAATAATAGTGTGCAGCACTAAAATTATTGTAAAAGGTCAAAAAGGTACATAAAAGTGACATAAATATTCACAAATTGATTCTGAAAAATAAAGTCGTGATATAAATAACACCAGACATATAAAAGTTCATAAAGTGACTAAGTGCTCATATATCCTGTACAGTCCTGGAAACGGTGCTGTGCAATCAGTATGGAAGAAATGCGCACTCACCTGAACGCACAAAACAAAGTGCGTTTTGTAATAAATCCTGCTGTCATCTAATGGTCATCTCAGGGCAGGAATAGAGTAAACTCCCCCTTATGGGGGATGGGTCCTGGGACTTTAAGATGATGATTCAGGGTTTTCCAGAGTTCCCCTTAAGGGATGGATGGATGCAGCTCACTGGGTGTAATAGAGGCTCCCTCTCTGGGAACTGGGCAGTGGATGTCTGTAAATCAATACTCCCCGGGGGAGTCAAGGCAAACACATCCCATAGTGTAGTAGTATGAATATTTAATGAGATAATAATAGGTATCCAGATAAAAACACATAGGGTGAGTAAGCAAAACCGCATGGACTAACGGCCAGAGTTAAAGATGGCCGCCGGAGCTCCACGTTGCTCCAGCTGCGTGACATCATGGAGTTATTGGCTCCCTCTTATGCGTTTCGTGCACCCGCAGGTCATCTGAGGGGAACACCAATAACGCCAACCCGCGCGCCGTCAGTTTATACATGTATATACATTATACATGCGCCATCTTTGAGAAGACGTAACTTAGTGCGCACACGCAGCCTATTATCACCCATTTCCCTTTCTATGTCTCAGCGGATCTCCCGCAGCTATTAGCACCCATTTCCCTTTCTATGTCTCAGCGGATCTCCCGCAGCCTATTAGCACCCATTTCCCTTTCTATGTCTCAGCGGATCTCCCGCAGCCTATTAGCTCCCATTTCCCTCTTTATGTCTCAGCGGATCTCCCGCAGCCTATTAGCACCCATTTCCCTCTCTATGTCTCAGCAGATCTCCCGCAGCCTATTAGCATCCCATTTCCCTCTCTATGTCTCAGCAGATCTCCCGCAGCCTATTAGCTCCCATTTGCCTCTCTATGTCTCAGCAGATCTCCCGCAACCTATTTAGCTCCCATTTCCCTCTCTATGTCTCAGCAGATCTCCCGCAGCCTATTAGCACCCATTTCCCTTTCTAAGTATCAGCAGATCTCCTGCAGCCAAATTAGCACCCATTTCCCTTTCTATATCTCAGCAGATCCTGTTTTTGTCACATTCAAAAAAGGAGGAGGAGGTAATCTGTATATGAATCCCTTCAGGGGGATCAGATTAGTGGTGATTCTGCCACATCTGTCTGCTCCACCCCCTCCCCTTCCTCTTCCTCTATGGCCTCTTCTGCTGAATTGTCATGTGAACCAGCAGTGCTCAGTAAGCATCCAAGGGGCTATGTGGTCAGTCAGGGTAACAGATGCCATGTGGTGCTTCAGCTGGTCTGTCTAAGGGATAGGAGCCACACCAGGCCAGAGATTCTGTCAGCTCTGCAGGAGCATGCTCAGAGGTGGTTGATGCCACGGCAGATTGAGCCAGGAATGGTTGTATATGACAATGGCACCAACCTTCTCTCCACCCTCTTACAGGTACACTTGGTACATGTTCCATGCTTGGCACACAAGCTGAATTTGGTGGTACAGTGCTTCTTGAACAGGTACCCAGGCTTTCAAGATCTTCTGAGGCAGGCCAGAAAAGTCTGGCCATTTCTGGTGGTCACACATGGCCTGTGTTCAGTTGGCTGAAATTCAACCTGCCCACCAACGACTCATTTGTGACATGTCCACTCGGTGGAACTCCACTTTGGTGATGCTGCAATGGCTGCACACACAGCAGAGGGTCCATCAATGAGTACCTGTGTGAGAATGGCACAAGGACAGGCTCAGGGGAGCTTGGCTTCTTCTCACCACACCAGTGGCTGCTGACAATGGATGCATGCACTGTCCTGTCACCATCTGAGGAGGCCACAAGGATGGTGAGCTGTGACACTGCATGCATCAGTGACACTATCCCTGTAGTCTTCCTGCTGGAGCACACGCTGCATGGAATCATGAACAGGGCACTGGAGGCAGAACAACGGGAGGAAGAAGGAGGATTTCCTGTCCTCTCAAGGCCTGCTTTATGAGAAACCATTCCTGTGGGGCTGCAGAACACACATCAGGAGGAGGAAGTGGAGGAGGAGGAGGACTGCAGCAACTTGGAAGTAGGGATCACATAGAGCAGTATTCAAGGGACACTTTTCAGTCTCCCAGAAACCCACCCAGGAGTAGTACATGGCTGGGAGGAGGTAGTTCCTGACAGTGTCATCCTCAGTGACCCAGAGGACTCAGAATCTCCTGCCTCCTCAAACGTACACTGCATGGGCTCCCTGATTCTGCAAAGCCTGTGTAAGGAACCTGAGGATTTGTGTGTTATCAAGAAGAGGGATCAATACTGGTTGGCAACCCTTCTTGATCCACGTTACAAGGGTAAAGGTGCAGAGCTCATCCAGTCTTCCCAGAGGGAGCAGAGGATGAAACATCTGAGGATGCCTTGAAATTGTGTAACACCTTTGCAGACACTGGGAGGTTACCATTTCCTGGACAACGTGTTTCTGAGGCTTCATTCTGTCAAATGAAGAGCGGTGGAGAAGGCGGTCAGCTGACCGATTTAAAAAGTTCTTTAGTCCTCAGCGCCCAGGGCTGTTAGGTTTAAGCACCCATCGGCAGGGTCTGCATCATATGGTGCAGGATTATCTAGGGGCAAGAACAGACTTGGAGACCTTTCCAACTGAGCATCCACTGGGTTACTGGGTCTTGAGGATGGATCACTGGCCAGAACTTGCTCAATATGCCATCAAGTACTGGCCTGTCCTGCATCCAGCGTGCTTTCCGATTGGACATTCAGTGCTGCTGGAGGTTTTTTGATGGATAAAAAAGAGTGCGTCTGTCCACAGACTCCATTGACCAACTGACATTTATCAACATGAATCAATCTTGGATAATGTTTCTAGAATTGTTTAGGAGTTTTCCACTGCAGGGCCCATGAGAGGTGCACCCAGCAATAGAATGTGAGGGGTACAGTGTTCAGGTACCATCAACACCCTGAGGCCACATTGTTCTACACCTGTATGAGAGGTTCATATAATTAGAATTTTTAGAGCCGGGTCCAATCCTGGACTTGTCAGAATAACTCTGAAGGGTTACGGTGTCAGTCCTGCTGCAGCAGGTTCTATACATTTAGAATTTTTTTTCTACTGATTCATGTCCATCAGGGCAGTACCCGAGTCCCCATACCACTTTTATTGCCAATACTTAGCATATAATCCTTCAAAATGGGCACTTTTGAATTTGCAAGTTCGAGTCCCATAGGTTCGATGTTCACGGCAAACTTTTGGTCTGTTCGAATGTTCTACCATGAACTGAACCGGGGGGTGTTCAGCCCATCACTAGTGATAAACTAAAAGTGCAGAGAGAGAGCACACAGGCAGATCACACAAAACCCGACATACGGGGTATATTGGGGAATGTGAGGACACAGTACAGATAACAAGACACAGCACAACAAAATAGTCCACCAGGTAGCAGCGTAATACCACATAGATAGTCCATGTAGGATGGCAAGCAAAATGGAGAACCAGTACACCAGGCCACCGGACAGTACAGGCAAGGGGAATGTACCCAGCCCCCAGGGCAGGGATCCAGACAGACCAGAATACAGCGTAGCAGTGGTTAAGTCCAGCACACTAGGCACGGATCTAGGTGGACCAGTGTAGGATATAGCAAGGGTCAAATCCAGCAGACATGGCAGGGAGGGGCAGACAAGTGGTTGAGTCAGAACAAGTGGTCTGAGACAAGTGGTTGAGTCCAGCACAAGGCAGGGATCTGGGCAGACAAGTGGTTTAGTCCAGCACAGGGCAGGGATCTGGGCAGACATGTGGTTTAGTCCAGCACAGGGCAGGGATCTGGGCAGACAAGTGATTGAGTCCAGCACAGGGCAGGGATCTGGGCAGACAAGTGGTTCAGTCCAGCACAGGGCAGGGATCTGGGCAGACAAGGAGCTAAGTCAGCACAGTATAGGGAAATGGACAGACAAGCGGGGTGATTCAAGCACAGGGCAGAGACCAGGACAGCATGGTATGGCACATCAAGGGTAAAAACTGGCACACTGTGCAGGAATTGGATCCAGGAGCCACTTAATCCAGAGTCCAGGCACTATGAGGGATGAGAAGCAATAGACACAACATATGTTCAGGGACTCACCAGTCAACAGAAGTCCAGGCAGCATGGCAGGGAACAGGAGGTCTGGTGGGCAGAGGTTCCTCATATGTGCATCACAGGTCCTCAGAAGGCTGTGTGTCCTGGCCCCAGTATCTGGACCACACAGACAAAAGTTGCCAGAAGATCAGAGAGTAGAGCAGAGTCCCAGTGTCCAGGAAGCTATCTGTCTCAGCAACAACTCTTGCACCAGGTAACCTCTCTTTCTAGGAAGACATGCAGCCCTCAGTCCTGTGTGTCCATCACAGAAGTAAACTCAGAAACGTCTGACCCTTTCTGCCAGCATAGGGTTATTATATTGTCCTTTGAATTCAGCCAAGCCTTAAGCATCCAAACCTGCTGCTGGCCCATCTGGC